GTCACTGTGACTTTGAAGGATTGCTAAATGATGTTGGGAATTACAAGACTGAGGTCTTCTGGAGCAGCTCGGATTTACTCAGCCCTGAGGTTCGCCTTCCTGCTTGTCAACCCTGGCCCCTTTAAGATGGGTGGGGAATTTTGGGAGTTGAAGTCCAGACCTCTCGGAAGTTCCTCAAATGGGCTTGGGAATTTTGGACTGGAACGTTGAATTCACTTCACTTCACTTCGCTGTATTTTTACTTTATTTGGTTCATTTGCACGGCTGCTTCACTTCACTTTGTTTTTGCTTTATTTGATTCATTTGCATGGCTGCTTCATTTCACTTCACTTCACTTCATTTTACTCATTTACATGGCTGGTTCACTTCACTTCACTTTTGCTTTATTTTATTCATTTGCATCACCGCTTCACTTCACTTCACTTTTGCTTTATTTTATTCATTTGCATGGCTGCTTTACTTCAGTTCACTTCACTTTATTTTATTCATTTGCATGGCTGCTTCATTTCACTTCACTTCACTTAATTTCACTTCACTTTATTTTATTCATTTACATGGCTGCTTCATTTCACTTCACTTCACTTAATTTCACTTCACTTTATTTTATTCATTTACATGGCTGCTTCATTTCACTTCACTTCACTTAATTTCACTTCACTTTATTTTATTCATTTACATGGCTGCTTCATTTCACTTCACTTCACTTAATTTCACTTCACTTTATTTTATTCATTTACATGGCTGCTTTACTTCACTTTATTTTTACTTTATTTTATTCATTTGCATGGCTGCTTCACTTTACTTTGTTTTTGCTTTATTTTATTCATTTGCATGGCTGCTTCACTTTATTTTTATTTTATTTTATTCATTTGCATGGCTGCTTCATTTCACTTCACTTCACTTCATTTCACCTCACTTTATTTTATTTTATTCATTTGCATGGCTGCTTCACTTCACTTCATTTTTACTTCATTTTTACTTTAGGTTATCCATGTGCATGGCTGCCCACCTCTATTCATGTGGTGATTGTGTTAATCTCCCGTTCTCTACCAGCTGCCAACTTCAGCTATAAATTTTAATATTCTAACCAAAAAAACCCAGCTAGATATGCAGGTTCCTTTATTTGGTGCCTTAAAGAAAACTCAGGTTAGATGGCATTTCCCTGTTCTTCGGGAATCCGGCCCCGTTCTCCATACCTGATTTCCATCAATGGAATAATCATACTTGGTGGCGTATACTTTCCCCACCGAGACGGCGATAGCGTAAGCGACAATCGCAATGGAAAATGATGAGGCCAACATCTCTCCAAACTTCTCCACCGCTGGAGGTTGAGGAGGCAAAAATCTGAAGAGGAAAAGGAGCAGGAGACAAATGCATATGGACAATTGTATAGATCATGGGTAGGCAACCTTGGCTCTCTTATGACTCGTGGACTTCAACTCCCAGAATTCCTGAGCCAGCCACGCTGAGGGGAAAGAGAGAGGTTTCCAAGCTGAGCCATGCTGGCTCAGGAATTCTGGGAGTTGAAGTTCACGAGTCAGAAAGCGGCCTAGGCCAGAGGTAGGCAACCCTGGCTCTTTTATGACTGGTGGACTTCAACTCCCAGAATTCCTTGAGCCAGCCACGCTGAGGGGAAAGAGAGAGGTTTCCAAGCTGAGCCATGCTGGCTCAGGAATTCTGGGAGTTGAAGTCCATGGGTCATAAAAGAGCCAAGGTTCCCCACCCCTGGTATAGATAGATAATCCTTGACTTACAAAGTTTGCTTAGTGACAGTTCGAAGTTACAATGTGACTCATGACCATTTTTCCACATTTACAACCGTTGCAGCATCCTCATGATCATGTGATCAAAATTCAGAGGCTTGGCAACTGACATGTACTTGTGACGGTTGCAGCGTCCTGGGGGGTCACGTGATCCCCTTTTGCGACCTTCTGACAAGGAAAGCCAATGGGGGAAGCCAGATTCACTTAACCGTGTTACTAATTTGTTAATTCGCTTAACAATTGTAGTAAGAAAGGTCGTAAAATGGGCCAAAACTCACTTAAGAACTGTCTCACTTTGCACCATTAATTTTGGGATCAATTATGGTCGAAAGTCGAGGACTACCTGTACATATTATTTATTTATTATTTTTATTTTTATTTTTATTATCTGCACTCACCCTCTAGGAATAGTTTTCACAATCCCCGCATTGTATTTCTTCTCAAGGTCCACTCCGTAGGAAATGCCCGTGGCAACGATAGTCTGGATTAAAAATAAATAAATAGCAGAAGGTATTTTTTTTATTTACTTAGCCTACACACACACACACACACACACACACACACACACACATGATATGTGGACAATACAATATAGGAGATAACATATTAAATTAAGATAAAACCATAAGAAAATCACCATAATACAGGTAGTCCTCGATTTACAACAGTTCATTTAGTGACCATTCAAAGTTACAGTGGCACTGAAAAAAAGAGACTTGTGAGCGTTTTTCACAGTTACGACCTTCGTAGCATTCCTACGATCATGTGATCNAACTTCTGGTGGCAAGTCGTTCCACTGGTTAATCATCCTCACTGTTAGGAACTTTCTCCTTAATTCCAGGTTGCTTCTCTCCTTGATTAGTTTCCATCCATTGCTTCTTGTCTTGCCTTCTGGTGCTTTGGAAAATAAGTTGACCCCCCTCTTCTTTGTGGCAGCCTCTCAAATACTGGAATACTACTACCATGTCCCCCCTACTCCTTCTTTTCTCTAGACTAGCCAAACCCAAATCCTGCAACTGTTGTTCATAAGTTTTTGTCTCCAGGCCTTTCATCATCTTAGTTGTTGCAAGTGTTGTAGGTGGGAGTCAGTTATCCAGTGCCTGAATTGCAGTCATGTGATAGTAAGGGCGGTGCACCTGTTGTAAATTGTAAGCCGTGTTTTCTGAGGCTGTTGTAACTTTGAACCATTTTTAAATGAATGGTTGTAAATTTAAGGATCACCTTTTATTTTATTTTTATTTTATTTTATTTATTTTATCCCCATAACAGTAGCCGACCTAATATTAAACAAACAGTAGCACAAAATATTAAACAAATGGTAAAATATATCAGAATAAAATACCTTCTGCAGCGGTTCCAGCAGCTTCCCCAAAGCTACAATAGCAATTAGTACAATAAGCGCTGAGATTATACCGGCCACCTGAAAATAAAATATTGGGAATCATCAAGAAAATAAGTTTGTTTTCAGGAATATTTATGCAAAGGGGCTAGTTTACACACTTAGTGAGCTATTTTCAGTAGAGAGTTTGAGTTGTCAAAATAACATTCTGACAGAATCAGAGATTTTTTTACAAGGAAATGTGATTTCAAAACCCTATTTGAAAACTTGATATTTTTAAAACTAAGCTTCATAGTCGTATACCAATAAGGATGTCAGATCTATACATGCATGTTTAATGTGCGACAGGAATTAAAGTGTTGGGAGAGACAGACAGAATTATCAATATTAGATCTAGGAGAAGAATGTGTGAGTCTACAGGAACAAGCAAAGCTAACAAGATAAGGAAGTCAACTCTGACCCTAACTCTAACCCTGACCCTAACTCTAACCCAAAGCCTAATCCTAATCCTAATCCTAATCCAAACCCTAATCCGAACCCTAATCCTAATCCTAATCCTAACCCCAACCCTAACCCAAACCCTAACCCCAACCCCAACCCTAACCCAAAGCCTAATCCTAATTCTAACCCCAACCCCAACCCTTACCCTAACCCTAACCCTAACCCTAAGCCAAACCCTAATCCTAATCCTAACCCTAACCCTAAACTAGGGTTAGGCAACCTTGGCTCTTTTGTGACTCGTGGACTTCAACTCCCAGAATTCCTGAGCCAGCCACGCTGAGGGGAAAGGGAGAGGTTTCCAAGCTGAGCCATGCTGGCTCAGGAATTCTGGGAGTTGAAGTCCACGAGTCATAAAAGAGCCAAGGTTGCCTACCCCTGTCTTAGGCTAAAATCCTACGCAACTAGGATCAGATGACTTGTTCAAAATCCGCTCCAGCAAATCAGTTCCAAGAATGATGGGCAGGCCGTAGACGTCCCTTCCTTCTGGGCCAGCTAAGTACCTGAGTTTTTCCACCTGTGCTTTCTTGGACCGCAGTGCGAGAGAGCGCGGTGGTTGCAGCAAAGCAAGAAAAGGCGCCTGAAAAGATATTGCTGATTCCAAAGGCGATAAATTCCTAGAAGGTTAGAAAACGGGAATAAACAAACCGTGCGTAAAACACAAAAGTCCTTCATCATACGTGGAAATATTTTATTAGAGCAGGCCTGGAGAAACTACAGGCGGCCCTTGATTTACGACCACAAAAGAAGACCAGCATTTCTGTCGCTAAGCAAGTCGATGGTTAAGTGAGCCTTCCCCATTTTTACAAACTTTTATGACACATTTGTTAAGTGAATCGCTGCCGTTAAGTGAATCATCACCATCGTTAAGTGAATCATCATCGCCGTTAAGTGAATTGCCACCGTCGTTAAGTGAATCGCCACCGTCATTAAGTGGATCGCCACCGTCGTTAAGTGAATCTGGCTTCCCCCACTGATGTTGTTTGTCAGAAGCTGGAAAGGTGGCAAACAGTGATCACGTGACCCTGGGACGCTGCAACCCTCGTAAATACATGCCGGTTGCCATGGAGCTAAATTTTGATCAGGGGCTGCGACGGTCGTAAGTGAGAGGACCAGTGATAAGTCACTTTTTTTCAATGTCACTGTGACTTTGAAGGATTGCTAAATGATGTTGGGAATTACAAGACTGAGGTCTTCTGGAGCAGCTCGGATTTACTCAGCCCTGAGGTTCGCCTTCCTGCTTGTCAACCCTGGCCCCTTTAAGATGGGTGGGGAATTTTGGGAGTTGAAGT